GCGTGCATAGAGCCTGACGGTAGGCCCACAAGGCCAACCATTTACCCAAGGACAGAAGGGAGCCCGGAGGAAGGGATAGATATCTCTCTGGACCATCTTGGTCGCAAAGATGATCACAGCGATGACCTAATCGCACCTCCCTTTGTTAAACCCTAGGCCCCACTGTGTATATAAGGGGGGCTAGGGGACTCTCATTCCCATCTATTCCCATAGAAATAACTATGGATAGACTCATACATCTCTCTGTAACCCCTCGCACGTGGTATACACACCATCGATAAACAACCGCCAGAATGTAGGGTACTACTCCATCATGGAGGCCCGTACCTGGGTAAAAAAACCGTGTGACCTCCAGTCTGTGACTTTCTGCTACGCAAGGTACCCTACCGAGAGATATGACGGTTTTCTGCACCGGCAGATGTGTGTAGGGGAAAAGCCAGGGTAAGCAGCCTTGATCATGACCACCACTATCATCAAGCTTGTAGGTGGAGCGATATTTGTCCCCTAGAAGATGAATTTGGAAGGATTGATGTTTTATCTTGTAAGACATTATATATTGAATAATATATTGAAAATGATAGTGTGCATCACTCAATGCAGAGGCCGAGGTTCAACCTCCTTTACATAAAGAAATGATGTGATGTATTTTTTTTTTAATATAGTTCGGGTTGCAAATCACGTGTTCCACGCATGTATCTTCTTCCATGTTACATATCACATAAATGTCTGGGCCCACAATATCCCTCTTTTTTTTGCCAAAACACCGTATTCCTCTTGCACTTGACGTATCTGCAGGAACTGAGCTTCGAGGAACCCTCCATGCAAAAATTATCACTCCCGGAACCTTGGTTTCCCACAACGTTTTTCCATTGACTATGCGTAGCACCAAGATCTGATGAAGCAGCTCGTTCCTTGAGCCAGTCTCAGTCCTTGTCCTTTCTGTATCGGAGACGGACAGTAGTAGTCTCTGTACGCCGGCCGTAACGGAAAACATACCACTGCGTTCTTATTGAAGATATAAGGCTAGCGATTTTTTGCTATTTAAGTATGGCTTAATTAAAAATATCGTAACGGACTTTGTTTAGGGGTCATAAGGAAAAGTCTTGCCCGGCCCGGTTTCCCACATCAAAGCTGGGCCAAATTAGTCGACGAGGAGAGGCAAAGATCTTCAATAAGATTGATCTCGCGCAGCTAACCCAAGTCGGCGGCAGATCGGCGCCTCAACCGAGCTTCGCAAGATGATGAGCGAATCCAATCCGATGCTTGTTGATTCCCTTCAGCCGCCCTCCATACCGGAGCTCCACGCCTCCGCCGGCGACCTTCCCGGCCGCATCCTTCTCGCGACGAGGGTTTACTTCGACCGCGGCGACGAGTCCACCAGGGCCGAGGCGGCGACCAGCAAAGGTCAGAAAGTCGAGATCTCGATCCGCTTTGCCGCCCCGCCGGACCTCTCCTACGTCTGCGTCTACTGCCCCGAGCTCAATCAGGCCAATTTCGCGGAGGAGCCCCGTGTCGTCCGCTCGGAGAAGCAGTTCCTCCTGGTGCATCTGCCGCTCACCTTCGGCCCCCGATTTACCGTCTAGTCCCGCGGCTAGTCCCGCGAAGCCGTCGCTCCGATGGATTCCGGCTCCCAAGCCTCGAGGCCTAAGCGCCCTGCTAAGATTGGAATTTGCTGCCTTGACGCCGATGACTATATCCTGGCTGCTCTCTCCCTTCCTCGTACTGGTGATGGCTATGAACTCCACACCGTCACCTCCAATTCGGTTGATTGGACTGCCAAACCCGCTCGGTTGGAGAAACCACCCAAGAGGGAGAGGGAGGAGCTTCTGCCAGCTTCGGCGCACAAGGTGGTGCCTCTCGGAAGCACCATTATGGCATGGATCGATCTTCTCAAGGGTGTTCTCGCATGCAATGTCACTGCCACGGATGCTGTTGCTTCGGTTTCTTTCATCCGTCTTCCCACCCGGATGCCTGGGATCCAATCTGAATATATAAGCCCATGAAAGATCCGGGATGTCATTTGTAGCGGGGGGTCGCTCAAGTTCGTTGAAGTCGAAGATTTGTATACAACACAGGAGGATCGTATGGCTCCTGCTGCGCCGCCATCTGATCCTGACATATTCTATGATGGTCTGGATTCCGACACGGACGATTTGGTCGATACTGTGCCCACTCCACCGACCTGGATTGGTTGGAGGGCAGTCATATGGAACAAGGCTCTTTCCGAGAAGTTTTGGTGCAAAGGGTGTGAGGCTCACGTTCGTGACATATTGGTCGAGAACCCGGACCATCTCGCTTTACTGGCTCAACTAGGACACGGCAGTGTTGTTCATGACTCCGCCGCATTGATCAACTTGTTACCAAATTTCCCCACCCTGAGCATCTTTGGTGATGATGTTGTCTACATGAACTCCTTGGTGAAGACCAATACCCACCAGGCGTGGGTTGTCGCAATTGACTTAAGGAACAAGACAGTGATATCATTGGCTCCTTACCCTGGCTCCGAAAAAAATTCCGACTGCCCCCATGTTCCCTCCGTGTTGTCCGAGTATCTCCTAAAACTCTAAGCTCCCTTGAAAGGAGGCCTCCTGGTTGATTAGGGCTTTAGGCAGCGGTGTGGGTCCTCCCTGTAAGTGTATGAGGGCAATGCCACGAGGAAATTGATGAGCACGTACGGCGAGCTCTGGGTGGAAAATGCAGTTACGACGGTTGTGGTATATAGTTAATCCATTCATATTTCCTGCTTCTTTCGCTTCTCTTCATGTCCGGGTGATTCTTGCTTATTCAGTTGTCGTATTGGATTGAGCCTACCATTTCTAGATTGCAACATATGTACTTGCGCAAGATATTGCTACTACAGTGAAATTTGGCAAGTTTGCACTTACCTCTTTAGTACACGATATATGTAGTTTGTATAGGTTTTATCAGTCTTTTAGTACTCCCAGAATTGGTTTCTTGGATAATATTCTAATATATTGACTCAATAAATGTTCTATTCACCAGGACATCAATGGTTTAGTGCAACATTTGAAATTATATAGCTTTGATGCAAGACCACTTGTGTACCTCCAGTCATGAACCCCTTTTGCTCTATTTTCCGTTGAATATAAAAAATGATGACCCTTTTGCTCACTTTGTCAAGTTACTATCGTTGAAATCAGCTTGGGAATGTTAGAAACTGAGTTTCCTTAGTGAATGTGTGCATAACTGATATTTCAGTTATATATGTACTGGATCAAGTTTTAAAGTAACTTGCCAGTCCAGACTTGGTGACAAAGACATTCAAGTGTCTATACATTTTCTCTCGGTCTGTATGTTCGATGCTTGACACTTTGGATCTCAGTTGTCCTCTTATTTTCAAATTTGCACCATCCGTGTATGCATTTTTCAAGCAAGGATTTTTCTGTTGAACAAACTCAGAAATAATCTTGAGCATTGTAATGTTTAGCATACTCCCTTTAAATAAATGCACAATATTGAGAGCTTCCTTTCTGTGTAACAGAGTAGTGTCACTTTCTATCTTACGAAGGTAGTCCTGGAATCAGAATTGCAATTATGGCTTTTGTAAGATTTTCAACAGACAAGTCTTTTTCTCATCGTGACGCTCATTCGTTCTAATTTGTAAATGATGGTGATTCCACTCATGCAATTATGTATCTTGACGGTGGTGATTGGTGTTGCTCCGAGGAAAGAGGTATGGAAAAATATGCCAGTTTCTTTTCAATCAGTTGAAGCATAATGGAAAAAAATCCCTATGGCAAAAATTAGTTTTCATCCAGATATTTTTGCTCGCTGACTTGACCTTATGTACTATAGGCACGAAGTTATGTGTATTGATCTAGGCGACATGATGAACTAGAATTAGCACTCTTCGGAGAATCGCTTGGGCTAGGCACACCTTGAGCTTTTCAAGAACAACTGATCATCATTATGTGCAAGGTTGGGAGGTGTGAAATTGCTGCACTGTGCTATATATGAATGCGCCATACATATTTTGCATTTGCATAGAAAAATCATTTGTGAGTCATTTCGTATCCAGTACAGCTTCTACAACTTCAACAATTGTTGTTAAACTAAAAACAGCATTCCCCTTCAACGGAACGGGCTTTGGTCAACCTCTGGAATTCTCGCCACAGTTCTCTGTTGTGGCACCTATCCTTGCTGAAATTGGGTAGCTATGGCTATGTTTTAACCACTTTGCAATTCAACATGTAACTACATCAGCAAACTTACTAGCCCATCTTTTGCAAAGCGTGCTTGGACGCTGATGGTCACCGACAGCTGGCTAGATTCAGAACCTTCGTTCCTACTCTGTACCCCCTTGGTTGACTGCCTTAGGAACGCTTTTGTTGAATTAAAGCTCCAAATATTTCATGGAGAAAAACAAAAACATTCTTCTCAGTTCAGATAGCAACGACCCTTTTGCCGTCATGCAGTAATAGAGATTTGGTTGGCTGAACCCAAGAATTTCAGGGCGAAACCTGAGCGAAACCTCAATCTAGAAGATAGTGCTATGAAACCCACTTTTATTGCAGCAACTTCCATTACAACTTGCAAACTTCAGAAACAAACGCATCGACATTTTCACGGCACTTTACATACTATTGCAGCTTATTTCTAACGTTATATAACCAAATGCCATTCCTCAATTCACCTCATCTCAGCTCTATCTATCCTCCCTTGCAAACCATTCCCCTGAACTAGATCGATCGACTTGCTATTCTTGCGTCTACAGTTACTTGGGTGTTAGGATGTACATCTTGCAGTCATGAGGCGCCACTGATGCAGATAGCTGCCGCTGAGCAGAGAATGACGAGTGCTGCACAACAAGACGGATGTTTTTGTGATGATGAAACCCTGGAATGTGTAGTGGATTGTTAAGGATAAGCACTGGGCTCTGAAGAAAGCAAGCTTACTGCCCATAGATCGCGAGCGGTGACGGACGCAGATGCTGGAAGCCCGACGTTTGACCAGTGTGCGGTGATGGTTGCTTGGTACCCCTACCTATTCCATAGAACCACGGCCTTTCTGTTGCCGCTGAGCGGTCCGGCCCAAACCTAGAAAAATATCTCCCCGGTTTTAGTTACAGAAATCTCATGATGGAAGCCACTAGTAAGATATTTGAACTGAACAATACCTCCAAACCAGCATCGGATTGCACTTTCTTTCCCTGCACGCCTAGTCTATCTGTTCATACACTTGTAGTATGAGTACACTGAAAATCCCATATGAGCAAGTTATCATGTGCAAATACGTGCAAGAGAATGCTTGCCTTGGTTGACAGCGACGACCTCCCAATTGCTGATTATGTTCTTTGTCTGCGGGCTCATCGAGCGCACGTCGCACCCGATCAGAAGAGGAGCCTACACAACTCAGGACCAGGATTTCCGTGAGGAAATGCAGAATTCCTTTTTGAGAATCGCAGCAACATTATTAAATGCACATGGGACAAAATGTGTAGTACCTTGGCAAGTGCCCAGATGCTGAAGTGCGAGCGGTACTCAGCTTCGGACATCCCACCATTTCCAACTTCAAGCATATCAGGATCTGAGATCGGAGCAGAACATGGATCAGTTCCAAGCTAAGAAATCGTTAGGCAATCAACAATATTGTTACAGATTCTTCTGAAACCCTTACCACTCCATCCGCCAGGTCCGGCATAGGAGGCCCATCTGTCATTCTGGTCCGCGCGTGATGTCATGCTGAAGTACAAAGGTAACTATGATCAGTCCTGCTAATTCTAGTAGCTACTTGACCAAATTCCCAGAGTTGATCAATTGGGCAGCACCTGTCCCAGTTGTCAGCAATGTCCGCGGTTTTCCTCCGGCTATTACCACCCATGCCACGTGCCCATGTAGCAGGGTTTTCGATTCCCCTAAACAGCAAAAACGCACAAGAGTGGAATCAGCAATGCTTGTTTCTCCTTTCCGTACTAAAATGTTATGACGAGCAGACTCACCACTCACAGATTGAGAAGAAGATGTTCTTCCCGTATTTCTTCATGGCGTTGCTTATCCTAGTGTATCTGCATCAACCATGGCAAATTACTTCACAGCCTAACACATAAGACACAGTGCACTGGTCATGCTGAAGTTTGAGGTATTGTTCTCCGGACCTTTCCCTGACGCTCCTCCCAGCATCGTTGCAGTTGTCGTACTTCAGATAATCAACTCCCTGGAGACGAGAATGCAAGAATTACAAGAACATTAGAATTTATGATGTCGGTGTTGGTTTGGCATGAGCGATGAGGTAAGTAGTAATTATAAGGTGTCTACCCAAGACGCGAACGTCCTCACATCTTGCTCTTCGTGATCGAGCGATCCTGGCATTTGTTTAGTACATGTTTGTGTCCTGCAATTAATACATGGTGACAGTTAGTTTCAGTTCATTGCCAGTTTATCATATTTACAAATTCTAGTTTTCTTGGGCTAATGAAGAGTTTAGTTGCTACAGTGTGCGAACAAATTAGTGTTATTTTTATGATGAATTGGATAGTTAGCATACCCAGCATCACTGTAGATGCCGAGCTTCAACCCTTTGGCGTGCACATAATCTGCAAGCGCCTTGATGCCAGAGGGGAATGTTCTTTTATTTGGAACCAGGTTACCCTGAGAAATCATGATACAACATTATCAGTACTGAAAGAAAATATTAAAAATGGTATACATATGCCTAATCTTCTGCTTCTAAAACGTTTAATAATATCTTGAAAATAGGATGCAGAAGCAATTGTTTTTTAATGTTAAGATTGATTTCTTTAATTGCACTAACAACATAATTCCGCAGTTGCCCTATATTGAAAATGATAGGGATGGTTAGCTTAAGTTTATCTCCTTACCTGGTAATCCCTGTTCAATTCTGCCCAGCAATCATCTGAAACAAGAGACGGGAAACATATTTGAGTAAAACATATACTGCTAAAAATAATCTAGTAGTTGTGTCCAACATGTCGTGGGAAATATACATGATCCAGAGAGCAATCCATACCGATGTTAACATATTTGTAGCCCAATTTCGCGAGGCCAGTGTTGATCAATGCATCAGCTGAAGGAAAGGAAAACAAAGACGCAATTGTTACGATAGTACAAGTTGACACCACATCAAACTCATGACATTATCGTTGTAGTAAGACAGCGAGATCATCACGAGGTGTTGGCGTTGATCCAGCACCAAGAACCCAACTCTAGTGACTCAGTGGCTCTAGCACTAACTTGTTTCCTGATAGTTGTCCCTGGGTCAGCATCACCGAAGCAAAGCCTTCATGAAATTTTGCTAACGTAGTACTGTTACAGGGTAGCGTTTCGGTGTGACAACGATGCGTCGGAAAGCACAGCAAAATTAGATAGTGATTGGGCCGAATGAGCATTGAGTAAGTGAAAGGGAGGTCCAGAATTGCAGATAAGGAGATCCGTATACAGGCAAAACATAGGATTTGAGGCTTGAAACAGGGCGGGGGTTCAGTTCAAGTGGTAGCAGTGTCCCGGTCGTACCTATCTCCCTGATGACTTCCTCGCTGATCCCGCAGTAGAAGTGGTTCCAGGTGTTCCACCTAGCACACGAAATGTTTCGTCATGGGTCAAGATTAAATAAATCAGATCAGATAAAACTGGAGCAGAAGAGAAAATGGCGAGCCATGACGAAGTATATATAGGTCAAAAGGAAAATCACGACTCATGACGAGGCTCGTCTTCAGAAAAATATGGCAGTTTTCTTTTGCTTTTGAATTATATAGATGAAGATCACTGTAGATTTTGCATTACTGATGAAGTCACTGATCGATATAGTAAGAAACACTGCTGGATCAATGTGGTGCTATGAATACTGGATCGATGTGAAATCTGGAGTACAAACATGATCGTTCCAATGTAAGTGCTCGGAAAGGAAAACAAATCTTTTAGATCTATGACTGGAAGAGGGAAGCAGAAAAAACGTCCAGCACCCATGCGTGCCCAAGCATTTATCGTACTCACCTCAATGGCTCAATATCCTCATCTTACCGTCAAATCTCTCGTTGTGTAGAGCCGGGGAAAAACGAAGAGTAAAAGACAAGAGGAGTTGGATGGCAGCGTGAAAATACCCCATCTGCGGCTTTCTGCCGAGGAGCGCGTGCCGTACGCGGAGCTCGCCAAACGTTGTGTTCGCGGCCGCATCCGAGGGCACCCTGGCTCCTGCCACTGCCGCAACCAGCAGCACAAGCAGCTGCGACAGGCTCGAGGCACGCGCCATGGCTACCTAGCCACTCTACTTTATGGTGCCGAACGAGCAGAGGGTGTTGGGTGGGTGGGGGTGCTACTGGTGGCGCTGGTGAGTGACTGCTGGAGACGCGTCTGACGGACACCTTTATATAGGGCCGTGCGCGGGAGACTATGGGACCACGGTTTTCAAAAAATTAATGTATCATTTATTTCCTCTAATTTTATTATGATTTTCTGTTGTTGTGTCTATACACTCCTGTGGCTAGACTTGTGTTGCCGGGTTTCCCTCCATTGGGTTCGCCAATGAGAGCATCTACAAGATTTTTTGTAGGGAACATTTAATTGTATCCTTTTTTGTAGTGTAATATTAAATTGCATCTAAAGAAATATTTTAACGCATATGATACATCTCTCTGAGAGAATCAACCCATGTAGTAAATTCACCACTCAGATTTTATGATACATCGGCCACTTGGATCACTAGTCAGCCTCTTCCGATGGATGATTCAGTATCACCAAACTTTTCCTAATTAACGTACCCAACCAAAAACCAAAATCATGAAAGTCTGACTCTAAGAACCCATCAGGACTTTCCTTTGAGCGGATTCATGGGACGCCACAAATCGGCAAACAATCGGGATAATTTTCCATGAATGTTTAGTCGGATTCAATGGATTACGAGACTCGGTTATGAAGATCCTGATGAATTCGGGGGATAATGACAAGGTTATCTCCTACTGGGTAGGCCCACGGTAACTGGAACCATGGAAAGCTCATGGGGGCCTAGGCCCACATTCACCAAGTATTAGAGTACTAGTCAGCATGGTCCCTAGTATCCAGTATGGTCTGATATTGATGTTGCTATGACTTTGCTATGTTTAATGCTTTCCGCCAGGGCCCGAGTGACATGCTTTCAGATCTTAACCTATTATATTTTCATGCATATATTTGAGTTCTTGATTCTGTCTGCAAGTTATATGCACCTATTATTGTTCTGAACCATAGACCCCAATGTGACAATAATTGGGATAATCTCCGGGAACGACTGTCATTTAAGGAGTTCATGTATTCTGTATGTGTTAATGTTTTTCCCTTATTCTCTATTAAAAGGAGCACATTAATTACCCTTAATTCCAGCAAGACCCCATTGCCACGGGAGGGTAGGACAAAGATGTCATGCAATTTCTTAGTGCAAGCACATATGACTATATATATACAGAATACTTGCCCCTAGATGATCGTTGAATTGGAGCGATTGTGTATCACTCTAGGATGTGACCACTGTTCAAGAAATCTTCCGATATTCCGATAAATCGGCCGATTTATCTCTTATCGTTGTCTGCCCGATAAGATAAATCGACCGATAAATCAACCGATATGGCGATAAATCGGACGATATGCCGATAAACTGGCCGATTTACCCCTTATCATGGGTCGACCGATAAGTTCCCGATAAGCGATATCCCCAACATTGGATGTGAGTGTGACTGTTACATATTGAATTTCATCGAAATATCGATCACTAGTCCAATGCCTACGATTTCCTCATATTGTCTTGCTTAAGTTCCTACTACTGTTGCTGTACCAACTGCTACAAACTATTGTTACTGTTACTGTTACTATTGCTAGTATTGTTACAACTACTATCATATTACTCTACTAGTAATGAATTGCAGCAAGGAAGTGACATCTCAGGTGTGGTTGAATTGAAAACTCAACTGTACAACTTATAAATATTCTTGGCTCCCCTTTTGTCGAATCAATAAGTTTGTGTGAAATACTACCCTCGAAGACTGTTGCGATCCGCTATACTTGTGGGTCATCAAGGTCCTCGAGATGCTAAACATTCCTGTGGGTCAGTCAACCATAGTTGATCCCACCTTGAAACAACGGAGGGATTGAACTTCACGATTATAGTAAAGAATGAAAGAGAAACACTCTTCTGCGGTTGTCCTGGGTGGCGAGGATTCACCAAGACCTACGAGTGCCATGTAGGGATGAGGATCGACTTCTACATCATTGCTGAATACTATCGATCGTCATATGAGCCTCTAGATGCCTACCGCTACAACACGAACCCCCCTTTAGCAACGCATCGATGCGTTGATGTATGTCCATATAACTGTTGCAATGGTCTACACCAACGGATTATTATGTGTTGCCGTTGGTGGTGTTGCAAGGGTCTCAGCAACGTATATAATTGCATTGGTAATCGACGTGAAAAAGCATTGCAAGGTAGCAACATATATATTTGCAGCCTAACAACGCTTCGCATTCGTTGGTGGGTAACCTACACAAACTGATTTTGAAATGGACATGGCAGATTAGTTCGACCCTTATATGGAGTAGTATTTTATACATTACCAACAATATTACTAAATCAACATTGAAAGTGCACATGAGCAGCAAATCCAGTAAAGAGAAAGATATCATTTATTAAATCCAGTCGGTTGCATTAAATGGAACACTATCCAAAGAATGTATACATGATTTCCATACATTGACCATGAAAGTGACATTCTGTAACATAATGTAAAACTATATGGTAGTGGCCCACTCTCCACCTTGCAGTCAACTTAGTCATGCACCATCCATTTATCTGGGCGATCTACAACAACAAAAAAGCTGACATGAGTAATGTATCATTAAACACAAAATAAAAAAGCAGGTTAACAGAGTAATAAATTTGAAAAAAGAAGCAAAATAAAATGGTTGAAGGCCATGAGATAACTGATCTAACTGCATGACAAATACTTCTGACATTTTTGAGTGGTCACATCAACTGATCATATTTTTCTAATGTAGCATCAACACACATTGCTGATTGCTTACAATTCATTTCCCAAGTTAACAGCCTCAATTTTATATTCTAGGTCGGTACTTACCAGTGTAACAATCAGATTTTTTTCTCAGCCAACAGGGACATGGATTTTTCTTATATACTTCCTCCATTCACTATAATAAGACGTTTTGGATATTTCAATATGGTGTACATACGGATTGAAATGAGTCAACATACATACTAAAATACATCTATATACATCTGATTCAGAAAAAAGTTCTTATAATAGTGAACCGAGGGAGTATTTCCAAAAATTTGAAGATGCTATCCAATATTCACCATTTCTACATCGCTGAAAATAAAAAATGCGATGAGAATACAATCAAAACATGGTAGATGAAGAGGTGATAGCAAATGGCTTTACCTTTGATTATTGTACACACACAACTTGATGTATTATGGCTGCATGCATCGATTGATGCAGAGGACGGAGGTAAGCCTCCTTTTCAGAAAAAAAAACACAACTTGATCATTGTTTTTAAGGCGTCCTACCTTGAACGCTTAGGCGATAAGGCGCCCGGGCAGCGCCTTACAAATATGCCCGCCTTAGGCGCTTAGGTGTCGCCTAGGCGCTAGAGCGGGTGGTGCTCGCCTTAGGTCGCTTTACCGCCTTAAAAACAATGAACTTGATGTACAGGGAGTGCTGAGTAGGCCTAATACAAAAACAGGGATAAAAAATATCCCACTAATAACAATATACAGTATACAGGTTGTTTTGGCGCCATTCTCAAATTTACGTTCATGCATTCTCAATGGAATTATCTATAACAATGTATGTGTATAGGTTGCATGACAAAATCCAAGCATAATCTCTGTATAATGAACATAGCATATCCACATACAAATTATTTTCTTCCATAAACCACTTCCAAAATAAGTCCCATATCACTTGAGTACATCAGCATGTTGTGTACTGAAACTCAAAGGGGTATCTAGAGATATACATCGGTCATACACATGGTTTACCCTGCTGGACATCCCATACACACAGTTTGAACTTTTTTGTTAACATAAGAAAATTTAAATACGAACAGTAGTAACAATCCTGCAATACATGTATATATATATACAGTGGGGAGTCAAGAGTAGCTCTACCTGTATTACTGCTTGAGCATGGATCTAAATTAGAGATATCAGAAAGAGGGTCTTGTCGGGTTTCTAGTTACTAAGCCAGCTGGGAGTTACATAAGAATTAGATACGAACACTATCAGTATATGTAGGCATAGAAGATAAACAATGTGGAACTGTCGAAACAGAGCAACCTTTGAGTTTAAGCTTCCTAAAACTCCTTTTGAGATTGTGTTCTCTGCTTGTGTCTTCATCACCTACTGGGCAGGTCTTTTGAAGGGGGCAGACCGTGAGGCGATGGACCATGGGTCGCAGATGCTGAGGAGCAGTACAAGCAATATGATGATGATCTGCGCCGCTGCGACAGAAGATTCGGCGACAACTTGATGAATCGCGTCTCCAACTCCCTGCTTTTCTCCCCTGGTCCAGGAGGACAGGGCTGCTTTTGTGCTTTACTCCTGCGCGAAGATATGGCCCTGATGGGTCGTGTATTTTGCATAGTATTCTGCCAGTGTGCGTTGGCTGTTGAGAATGTAGGTGTCGTCGGGTTTTCACCCCACAGCAGGTGTCTCGTAGGCGAGTTCCTGTGGTGGGTTTCCCGGCGATGCTTTGAACTCGCTTTCCCCTTTCCCGTCTCCTTCTCTAATGTCATAATGACTGCTGTATTTCCGTTATTCGATTAATGGAAAGGGGTAATGCCCGGTTAAAAAAAAGATAAGCCGCATAGTTTGATCAGATTTGAAGGTATACAATATTAGTCAATGTGTTGGGTGCACCATGGAACAGTAGTACAAATGAATTTGACTGTGGAAACTTAAAAAAAATGTAAGACTTAAACAAAAAAAGAGAGCAAAAACCTGTTTTTGTTAGATGACTTATTAAAACGGAAAAGAGGGCACAGCTCTGCCGGTCAACTCAAGAAGAGTAGAAGAACAGTTGAGAGTTGTCTCTCGCCTGCACCCAAAGCTAGGGGAAG